GAATCGAGCTGGCGCCGGGGATCCAGGCTCCAACTGCGACGGGCCTCGAGGGTCCAGGCTCAGAGCCCCCGCGTGGATCGGTCTGCCCGCCAGTTCCCCCAAGTCTAAGTGGGGAGTGCTATCCGAGCCCCGCAGGGTGAGTGCGGGCGACTCTTGCTTTTGCGCAGGACTGGAGACCTGGGCCAGCCGTGGAGCTGTGCAGCCGGATGGCATTTGTGGCCTAACAGTCCGGAAGGCTGCTGATTGAGGATTCCGGCTATTCTCTTTTCCTGCTGCTCTCGCCACCGCCAGTAGGTGCCAGTCATTTGCGCAGAAAACAGGAGCCACCACTTGGCTCTTTCAGAGCCTCTCAGCGGCCAAATCCAGGTCACATTCCCATTGTTCGCACTTGGAGAACGCAGGACCATTGCCATCAGGTGCGGCCTTAAGGCTCTGGAAGGGGCAAATCGGATATCCTGTCTACAGACCCTGAGTCCTCCGCAAGCACCGGCTCAGTCCCTAGGCTCAGGCCACCCCATGATTCTTCTGCTCTGCGAGAGACACTGTTAAGAAAATGAAAAGACAAGCTACAAACTGGAGAAAATATTTGCAAAATATATATGTGTCTGATAAAGGACTGGTATGCAAAATTTATAGAATGTTAAAACTCACAGTAAGTTAAAAAAAATAATGGGAAAAGGAACTGAACAGATACCCCACCAAAGAAGATATATAGATGGAAAACTGTATGAAAAGATGTCCAACATTATATGTTGTTAGGGAATTGCAAATTAAAACGTCAGTGAGATATCACTACACACCTATTCAAATAGCTAAAATTCAAAACACTGATAATATCAAAGGCTAAAAAAGATGTGGAGTAACAGGCACTTTCAGCCATTGCTAGTTGGAATACAAAATGGTACAGCTACTTTGGAGGACAGTTTGGCAATTTCTTACAAAGCTAAACATAGTCCTACCATTGTCCTACCAGTAAGCCCAATCCTAGCTATCTATCCAAATGAGCTGAAAACTTAAGTCCATATAATATTTGAACAAATTAATACACAAATATTTGTAGAAGTTTTATTCATAATTGCCCAAAATTGGAAGCACCCAAGAAATCCTTCAATAGGTGAATAGGTAACAAACTGTGGCACATGCATACAGTGGAATATTATTCAGTGCTAAAAAGAAGTGTACTATCAAGCTATGAAAACACATGGAGGAAACTTAAATTCATAATGCTAAGTGAATGAAACTAGTCTGAAAAGGCTACATATGACTCCAAATATATGACAATCAGTAAAGAGCAAAACAACGGAAACAGTAAAAAGATCAGTGGCTGTAGGAGGGGGTGGTAGAGAAATGTGGGACACCATTAAGCACACCAATATACACATAATGAAAGTGTAGAGGACAGAGAGAAAGGAGTAGAAAAAAAATTCAAGGATAGTGGCTGAAAACTTTCCAATCTAATTGAAAAACATTAATCTACACACCCAGGAAGCTCAACAAATTCTAAATATGATTATATAAAGCGTTCTACAAACAGACGTGTCACAGTAAAAGTTCTAAAAGCCAAAGACAAGGAGAAAATCTTGAAAGTAGCAAGAGAAAAATGTCTCATCATTTACAGGGAACACCAATAAAATTAAAAACTGACTTCTCATACGAAACAATAGAAGCCAGAAAGAAGCAGAATAAGATGTTTGAATATGTCAAAGAAAAACACCGTCAGCCAAGAATTCTATATCTAGCAAAGCATTCAAAAACAAAAGCAAAATAAAGATGTTCCCACATAAATAAAAACTGTGAGAATTTATTGCTAGCAGACCTGTCTTACAGGGAAATACTAAGGGAAGTTCTTCAGACCGATGGTGACACTGTCAGTAATGCATGTATGGTAATTCAAATACACACACACACAAATCAAAGAGCACTGGTGAAGGTAATTATGTAATTATATAGTGTAGATGCATATTTATTCTCTTAACTGATTAAAAAAGCAATTGTAAAAACGGTATGTATATAATGTACCTGGGGGCCTATAGGATATAGAAATGTAATATATTTGCTAATAATAGCACAAAGGAGGTGGGTGGGAAGAATGCTGTACTGGGCTAAGGAAATGACTCCAGATAGAAACTCAAATCCACAGGAATAAAGAAATGAGAAATGATAAATGAGAAAGTTAATACAGAGTAAGTTGTATTTTATATCTATATACAGGTTTCTTCCCTTTTTTCTCTCAGCTTCTTTAAAACACATAAAATTATATAAAGTAATAATATAACGTTCAGTTTGTAATATTTATAGATGTAATATGTATAATAATAACATGACAAAAAAAGAGGAAAAGGGAATAGAGCTATATAGAGGTGAGATTTTTTAAATCTCACTGGAATTAAGTTAGTATAAATCTGAAGCTGTTCTGATAAGATATACATGACAAGTGCTAGAGCAGACTCTAAAGAAATAACTCAAAATATATAATGGAAAAATTATTAAAGAAATTAAATGCCACAGTAAAAAAATATTTGCTTAATGCAAAAAAAGGAATATAGGAGGAATGGAAGAATGGTTTTGATGCTGGTGGCCCCTAAACCATCTCTGGAGAAACAGGCTCCGTTGCACAATCTAGATGTTTAAATACATTTAAATGCAGGACACTTTTCAAACTCCACCAAGAGCCAAAGATAAAATCAGGACACTACCCTAATTAAAAAAACAAAAAACCAAAAACCAAAAATGCTACAGATAATTTTAGTATAGGGTAATGGAGTTGCACCAAAAGCAGTACAATTTGTCCTGGGAGCTCAGAGGCGGGGAAACTTACGGGATGAGGGATATTGGGGTGGTTTGACTAAGGGAAAATTTAATGGATATGAGACATGAGATATGAGACATACAGAAATCAAAAAGTTAAATGGCAGACAAATCCAAACATATCAGTAATAACATTAAACATGAATGCCTGAAGCAAATCAACAAAAAGGCAGAGATTGACATGGTGGATGAAAAAACAATATTCAACTATATGCTGTGTAGGGGACACACACTTTAAATTCAAAGATACAAGTAAATTGAAAGTAAAAGGATAGAAAACACAAGTCAAAATCTTCATGACCTTGGATTAGAAAATGTTTTTGTAAGTATGACACAGGCAGTAAAAAAATAAATTGGGCTTCATCAAAATTAAAAAGTTTTGTGTATCAAAGGACACTATCAAAAGAGTGAAATTACAACCCACAGAATGGGAGAAAATATTTGCAAATCATATATCTGCTGAAGAATTAATATCCACAATATATACAAATAAGCACATAACAAAATGCTGAATATCACCAGCTGCTAGGGAAATGCAAACCAAAACCATAATGAGATAGAGCTTCATACCCATTAGGATGGCTATAATAAAACTACAACAAAAACATGAAATAACAAATGTTGGCAAAGATGTGGAGAAACTCTAACCCTCCTGCATTGCTTGCAGAAATGTAAAATGATACAGCTATTATGGAAAACCGTTTGGTGGTTCCTCAAAAAGCTGAACATAGAATTACCATATGATTCAGCAATTCCACTCCTAGGTATGTACCCAAAGAATTGAAAACAGGGACTCAGATATGTGTACACCAATGTTCAATGTAGCATTATTCACAATGGCCAAAAGGTGGAAGCAACACAAATGTTCAACAAGAGATTAATGGATAAACAAAATGTTATATATATATATATATATATATATATATAACATTTATTTATATGTGTGTATATACCTACACACAAATGGAATATTATTCTGTCATTAAAAGGCATGAAGTATACATGCTGCAACATAAATGACCTTTGAAAACAATATGATAATGAAAATAAACCAGACATAGACAAGTATTATATGATTCCACTTACATGGAGTATCTAGAATAGGCAAATTCATAAAGTAAAATGGTGGTTACCAGGGGCTGCGGGGAGCAGGGCATGGAGAAAGATTGCTCAGTGGGCCCAGAGTTTCTTTAGGGGTGATGAAAATGTTCTGGGATTAGGTAGTGGTGGTGTTGTGAATATACTAAAAACTTTATTGTACAACTTTAAAATAGTAATGTTAATGTTATGCATGGTTTACTACAATTTGAATGGTTTTTTAATATAAAAAATCCAGGAAATGATAAAATTAAATTGTCTCCAGGTTCCAGGAAACTGGAATCCTGCTCCTTTAATTTGGATCCTGCTCCTTTATACTTACTTTATACCTCATATTTTATACTTACTTCATGTTTCTATGGCACTTGCGCACAGCTGTCATGTGCCAGATCTTCAGCTTTGCGCATGCTTTCCACTATTCTAGCTAGCTCATCAACTATTTTTAAGGTTGCCCTCCTCTATGCTTTCCATTAAATTTTCCCTTAGTCAAACCACCCCAATATCCCTCATCCCATAAGTTTCCCTGCCTCTGAGCTCCCAGGACAAATTGTACCGCTTTTGGTGCAACTTCATTACCCTATACCAAAATTATCTGTAGCGTTTTTGTTTTTTTAGATTAGGGTAGTGTCCTGATTTTATCTTTGGCTCTTGGTGGAGTTTGAAAAGTGTCCTGCATTTAAATGTATTTAAACATCTGGATTGTGCAACGGAGCCTGTTTCTCCAGAGATGGTCTAGGGGCCACCTACATCAAAATCATCTGGGATGAAAATGCAACCTTCCTGGGACCCTCTTCGGAGCAATGAGACAATCCGTAAATATAAAGCTTACAAATCTGTATTTTAACAAGCTCTCACGGTGATCCGTACATGCTATTTAAAACTTTATAAATCACTGGTCTGGGCTATACGTTGCAGAGTGTATTAAGGTCTTCAGGAGCTCTCATAGACCCCCTTTCTCATGCCTCTAGCATCAACCTTTCAGCCTCTCACACAGCAGGGGAAGGGCTTTGGGAAAACTCCAGAAAAATGAGTCGGAGTATAGCCTGCCTGCGTTTGGCTGTCGCGCGCAGGCGCAGAGCTGCGACCGTTAGTATGTTGCCCGCTCTCGGTATGGTCTCTGTTCTGCAACCTGTGGTCCATGCTGGGAGAATACAGTCCAGGAGACTGCTCGGACAATGACTGGGCCCGCCTACCGAGCTGCGAATGATCAGCAGACTGAGTGGAACAGTGCCTGTGACCCTTGGAAACTTGGTGAGCGTTGGAGCTGCGGGTCGACGGTTGGGTTTCTCTTTAATCCTTCCGGCTTCTCCAAGACTCGTGCACTCATGTTCCGTTCCAAGTGTGGCAGCGGCCCGGGGTGTGTCAGGGCGCTCGGCCAGAGGCGGCCGGTGAGTGGGGCGCGCAAAGCCAGGGACCAGGGTGGGTGGGCCTAGAGGTTCTGGGAAGTGATCACGCAGAAACACTCGGCTCCTTCAGAGGGGACTGGCGAAAGGGCCGCTGGTAGTTTGGCTGCAAGTCTGGCCGGGAGGCGCTTCCGCGACTGGGACGCCGCGCGGCGACGGGTCTCTTGGTGGCCCCCAGCTCTTGTCTCACCAGCGGGCTCAGCCTAGTCTCTGCTGCAGTGACAGCCAGTGATGTTCCCCGGGTGTGCCCCTCTGAAATGGAAAAGAGCAAAGTTGCTTCCCGTTCCCCTCTAGCTGGGCGAGGGAGGGTTTCTGCACCTGTGGGTTTCCCAGATGCTTACGGAGTGCAGGCACTGCTCCAAGAGTTCTTACCTGCCGTAAGTCATTTAATCCTCTCATTAACCTCATGAAGTAAGGTACAACTATTGTCCCCATGTTACAGATAAGGAAATTGAGGCACACAGAGATTGAAGTACCTTGCTCGAAGTTACAGAGCTAGTGAGTGGTAGCTTTTATTTTGTAGTTCTGATGATAAGAGTTGGTATTTGAATAAAATAATTGTTAATTATTTGTTGGTAGATGTATTGACAAACATGTGTATCTGTGTGTGTGGACTTGTGATTTGAGCCAATTTCCATGAACATTGTTGCCTGAAGACCACGTTTTGGCAGGACTAGATTTTCTCTGTTCTGTGGTGGAGCTGCCTAGGCCCTCCTGCTGATTCCTTTGTGCATTGGCAAAGGCTCCAAGAAGTAAACAGCCCAGTGTCACAAAGCAAAGTGCGGGAAGAAGAGCTATTCCAGAGCCTTCAGAACCTGCTTGCTTCTGAATGAGATGATTTCTCCATATTAAAGGAGGTAGAAAATAAAAGAGAATTATTCCTGGATCAGGAATTGATTATAGGAGGAAATAGCATTGTCAAAAGAACTTCGGTGGTTAGGGCAACCGGAGGTGGCCAGAGCAGTTAGGGCTGGAAAGTTAGAGGCACATTAAAGGAGCAGATCAGGTTTGCTGCTGCTGCAACATGCTGTGACCACTTGAGAGAATAATGACTGCTCTGTGGATACAGTATCCACAGAGCAGTAAGGTGATCCAAATAACTAAAGTATGAGGAAAAATGGAGAAAAGGATAAGTAAGCAACTTTCCACATTATGGTGGAGGAACCCCTTGGATGGAATCTGGATAAGAGTATGGCCCTAACCTTGTGGGGATAGTAGCCTCCTGGCCTCTCTGAAATGTATTTGGGGGCTCTCTCTGAAACTTTTGTCTCATCCACCAGCCCTCCCTTCCTCATTTCATATATATCTTCCAAAGCCAGGAAAAAGAATGCATCTGTCCATGTTCTAGAGCAGCAGCTGCTTAAGAGAGCCTCATAAATCCTCTGAGAGCATCTTTCCTTAAATTTGCACCATCACAATTTCAAATTAATTGATTGAGATGAACACAGCAATAACACACTCTCTTTATGTTGTATATATTCTATATTGCAAATGTTTTGCCGTATTTTGTTTTT